GACATGACGCTAAAGGCTCAAGATGTCAGCGAGCTGCCCGAGAAGGGTCTCCGAGTGTACAACGCCTTATGGGCCAACTACGAACACCGCAATAAGCGCCACAAGGAATTCCAAACCAGAACAAAGAACGTAAGGAACTGGGTCCTTGAGACGCTTGATGAACCCCTCTCTCGGCATCACTGCAAGCCAGAGACCAGTTTGCCTGAGTGGATTCAGTCAATCTATGACGAGTTTGCTCTAGCAACCGAACAGCGGAAGCAGAGGGCTCGCCGAGCATACCGCGAGATCTTGGGAGAACCACTCCAAGGAAAGATCAAGACCAACACTGCTGCAGCCGATTGGCTTAAGCGATGGCGGAATGCTATCAACGAGGCTCAGGATGTTGGCCTCCAAGAGGCAATAGAACCCGATCAGTGGCTTGGAGACCTCACAACAGCTCTTCAGTCAACGCACCTACAGGCTTGGACAGATGCATACAGCGTCATGCAGATAGCTCAAGTCCGAGCAGGTACTTTAACAGTCGGCCCAGTCATGGCAGACATTCGCCGAGAGATCGCTAAACGGCCGGAGACCCCACGGCGAGGAAGAGTGAGTCAGGGAGCCTTCCACGGCGGAGGAGGCACACAAGAAGAGGCCGATAGCTCGACGAATGCTCGACGAACAAACACCAAGAAGAGACGGCGTCAGAGCATTGGATCGGATAAAGAAGCCAAGTGCCCAGCATGCTGTCAACTCCATCCACTATCACGTTGCTTCTACGCCTTTCCAGAGAACAGACCTGACTGGTTCGAACCGCGGTCCCATGTAACCGAAAGGTTCAACAAGCGGCTAGAAGAGAACGAAGACGACCTAGTCGGACGGATCAGAAAGATCAAGCTAGAGAAATCAGCCTGACTACGACCTGTCGGCACCTGTACAGCGAACGCAGCCCTAATCATCAGGGATTGCATGACGAACGCTGAACTAGTAGCCGGCATCTACTACGCATTACAAAACTGTGTTCTCCTAGACTCAGGAGCAACCCTGCATATCTTCCGAGATACAAGCCGAATGAAAAACCTGCGAGCAGCCCAACCAGGAGATTTCTTTTGGTCAGGAACTACCCAAGTGCCAATCGACGGTTACGGTGAAGCGACTATTACCCTAGCAGATGCCGATGGCTCGCCGATAAGGCTCACTCTCTATGACGTTGCCCTGTGTAAATCCCTTACCACGAACCTCGTCTCATTCTCGAAGCTGAGACAGCGAGGCCTTTGGTGGGATACTAGACCAGGTAACAACTGTCTGCGGAGATCAGATGGGTCCTTCTTAGGCACTATCGACGAGAAGCAAGGGCAACAAGTCTTAGAATGGAAAGATGGAGCGTTAGACTCGCCAAACGCTCGGAGAAGGGTCGTGGAGCACACGGCGGCAATGACAGCAGACAAGCCACAGAAGAAGTCTCGCTTTACAACATGGACTCCGAGAAAGCCAATGCTAGGGGACACAATGACTTGGCACCGACGACTCGGCCATCCAGGCCCAGACTCCCTGCGTTGCCTTATAACGGCCTCAAGGGGCGTCAGGCTGAAGATGCACGAGCCTGAAGGCCGTGAACGAATAACGACTGTGGACTGCGATGCATGTGGTGTAGCGAAGGCTTGCCGAGCGATCCGCAGAGCACCCCGAGAAGCAACAGCGCAAGCAAAACCAGGAGAACGAATAGCCCTAGATTTCCATCCGATGACCCCAGGCTATGCAGGCTATACGTCTGTATGGATCTTCACGGACCGAGCAACAGGGTACTCATGGGACTACTATGCCGACAATCGCTCAACGCTCGCTATCCGCACAGCGATCACTCACTTCCTCAAGATGTTGGAGGTGCAATACTCCATTAAGGTCAAAGTGTTTGAGTGCGATAATGAGATAACAGAAATACATCCGCAAGTCGCTGAGCTGCTGACCGCTCGGGGAATACGCGCCGAGCCTTCGGCCCCGAATACTCAAGCACAAAACGGGGGGGCAGAACGCATCGCTGCAGTCATCATACTGAAAAGCCGCGCAATGCGTGCAGGAGCTAAGTTGCCTGAATATCTGTGGCCGGAATCGATCAAAGCTGCTACCTACCTTTATAATCGTACACCCTCAATTCACAGAAACAGAAAGACTCCGTACGAGTTGTTCCATCGCCAATTCCGCGGCGACCACTCAGCGAAGCCCGACCTCTCACACCTTCGAGCATACGGCTGCAAGGTCTTTGCATTGACTGCAGATGCACAATTGCGAAGAAACCGGCTTCAAAGGCAGGCTCCGAGGGCGTGGATCGGCTTCCTAGTGGGCTATACGTCAAGCAACTCATTCAGAGTCTGGAACCCCTTGCATAAGGAAGTCTTTACAACAAGAGACGTCTCATTCAACGAGCAGCAACTGTTCGACGGACGGACAGAGAGTCTTCGAGACGATTTAAGGCAACAGAACCTCGAAGCTATCCGACAACGCATCGAAGAACTTGTAGCGATACAAGCACAAGCTGAGCAGTGGCTATCACAGCCACCTGATGAAGAAGCAGATGAAGTAATAGGGGAAGACAACGATGACCTGTTTGGAGAACACTCGCCGAGTAATTGCGAGGCTGTTGGCAAAGTGCCCGAATCTGAAGGGGCATATGAATACACCACAGCTAAGTTTGAACCTCTCCCAACACCTCCCCTATCACCGCCAGCCGCGTTTTTCCACACCTTGGCCTCTGGTCTAGGTGTGAAGGGGCGTGGGGAAGCGGCCAAGCACGAGTTGGAAGCGGGTACGCAATATGCTCCGAATAAAAACAAGGAGAGCTCCGCATACCAACTCGCAAATCGACAAAGTGAGGCTCGGAAGGTCCAAAGTGATCTCGCCGATCGACCAGCGAAGCAGCGTGAGTCTTTCAAGGCTGCGTTTCTAGCTGGGAGACTCCAGTCGCCCAAGCATCGCACGAGTAACCGCAGAGTGTTCGGCGAAGGCCTGGCCAGCCCTAGGCGAGCACTCGGCGGGGGAAGACAAGTCTGCCCTCAGATCACGAAGGATATAGGTGCGCAAAAACCTCCGAGATTAGAGAGCCCTGCGTCAGCAGTGGCACAAAAACCTCTACAGATGGAGAGCCCTGTATCTGGGGGGGAAAGGCCGCCATGCGTAAATACACCGTGGCGTCTGTTGCAGACCCTTCCCAGCTCGCACGCGACTATAGCAAGCCATCCCTACCGGGAGGCTCTTCTTGAAGCAGAAAGAATACATTTACAAAGTCATGCAGATTCCCAATCGTGGATCGAAGTCGCAAAAGCCTCGGCTAAAGGCCGACGAGTGCTCGGCTGCCACTGGGTCTACGTCTATAAACTTGACAAACACGGCAGATTCGTGAAGATAAAAGCGCGCCTCGTTATACGCGGCGACCAGCAAGCGATCGATGGCCGAGAGACCTACGCAGCAACTTTGGCGGGCATGTCATTCAGAACCCTCATGGCCCTAGCCAACCGATTCGACTACGATATGTTGCAATACGATGCAGTCAATGCATTTGTACATGCAAAGCTGGATGAGGATATTTATATGCAAATGCCTGCGGGATACAGGAAGCCAGGAAGGATTCTGAAGCTACAGAAAGCTCTCTATGGTCTTCGGCGATCACCACTGCTGTGGCAAAAGCACTTCGAAAAGGGCTTGCTGCAAGCAGGCTTTCGCCGAGTGCCTGGCGAGGACTGCTGTTGGCTTCATGGAGATATCATCTTCTTCTTCTACGTGGATGACTGTGTTCTCTGTTTCCCTAAGCGCATCAAGAGCAAGGCAATGTCGCTGATGGCAGAACTACAGACAACGTACAATATTGAAGGAGGCAAGCCACTTCAATGGTTCCTAGGGATCGAGGTCATCCGGGATCGCAGAGCAAGAAAGCTGTGGTTGTCACAGGCTGTTTATATCGATAAAATGCGCCGCCTGCTCCCCGAAGACTCGCCGAACCTGACGACGGTAACCCCCATGATTCGCGAAGAACTTCTGCCACATGACACAATAGCGAGCCCCAGCAGCGTCAACCTATACCTCAGGAAGGTCGGCACGATCATGTACGCGGCAGTGATGACTCGACCAGACATAGCTTTTGCTGCAAGCCGACTAGCTAGGTTCAACCAGAACCCCGGACCGCAGCAACAAAGAGCCGCCGACAGAGCCCTGCAATACCTCATACAAACAAAGGGTCTCTGCCTTGAATACGGAGCTGCGGCCGGCAGTGAAGAAGACGGACTGCAAGTTGCCTCAGATGCTAGCTTCGCCGATAACTCAACGGATCGTCGGAGTTCTCAGGCATTCGTCATGAAGCTCTTCGGCGGGATCACTTCCTGGAGAGCCAACAAACAGGATACAGTTACAACGTCAACAACAGAGGCAGAGCTCCTGGCGCTTTCCCAAGCAGCCAAGGAAGCTCTCTTTGCAAGCCGACTTATCTCTGCATTGAAGGTTGACCTGAACTCTCCGACTGCTCGCCGAGCAGCAGCAACACCAGCAAGGATCACAATCGAATGCGACAATAAGCAGACTATCCGCCTTGTCACTGCAGAACTAGTACAACTACGCACGAAGCTCAAGCATGTTGACATTCACAACCATTGGCTACGCCAAGAAATCATCGAAGAAAGAGTTAATGTCATCTACACGCCTACTACCCGAATGCTCGCCGACGGATTAACGAAGAACCTCTCAGGAGACGGCCACTCGGGCTTCCTCAAGCAACTGAAGCTGATCGACTTGACGGATAAGATTGAACAGAGAAGAACTGAGGAAAGGGCACAGGAGCTATGAAGCAAAGTGCAGCTCCGCGGCAGGACCGCGAAGCTGAAGGGGCGTGTTAGAATAGATCGTGCGCACAGTCATGCACATGATCAGGTGACCTCGGTCACTTGAGTGACCATGCCGAGCACAGCCCGAATAGGAAGGCGGTCAACTGCGCATATAATACCCCTGACTGCTGCGGGGTCAGCCTAGATGACAATATGCACAATACACATACATGTGGGCTCTCAATGACTAAGATGCTATGCATGCTGCCTAAATCCAACAGCTTTTGCCTACGTGTGGTTTCGCAAGCTTGAGCTCCTAATGTGGGGCTGCTCGACCAATCAGGTGATAGCTGGTCGCAACATCTCAAACAACCGTACTTAGTAATCCAGCTGTGTGCTTCGGGAGCCCGTAGATTAACAAAAGTGGCGCGGGAGGAAAAACAGTGGCGCGGGGAAGAAATGGTGGCGCAGGGGGGGGGGGGAAGTGACGCGGGGATCGTGGTGAAGCGGTTGTGGTGCAGACATCTCGCACGGACCACTACATGGCCCGAGCTTGGTTTTTGGACCTGGTGGAGGGCACGGAAGAAAGAACCTTTCGTTCCTCAAGGCATAGATACCGATTCCGAGCCAGAAGCCTCGCAGCAGCAGGCGCCCATGGTGAAAGCAAGTCGATCACTTGATCCAGTCGTCCCGGGATCGGCTGCGTCACCCTTGACGACGGCACAGAGCGTGTCAGGGTCTATCCAAGCCGTCATCGTGCGGTGTGAGGTTGAGAAACGCAAATTTCCGCCTTGGTCTACCATCAGGATCACGGAAGATCACCCTGTCTTCTCGCGGCCTGTGCCTGACGTCCCAAGGCTCATTGAGGTTCCGGTAGTCCTGTACCGGCTAGGCACTCAGTCCAGAAACCAGGCCGACCTTGACAATCAGATTGCCACGTACCTTAATATCGATGCCGATTCCGGGTTTGCGCTCCCGGAGTGGCAGTCATATGTTGGCACTATTGTCGTTGCATGTAAGGACAGGAAGTTGCTGCTGCCGCAGTATCTTGAGGGCGTGTGGATGTACTGCGATTGCATTCTAGACCTCTTTGGTGAGGGTGAAGGCGCGCTGCGAATGCTGTACAGCCGAAAGGCCTTTGAAGATTGGTGGATGGGTTATTGCGAGGAATAGAAGCAGTTCCGGCTGGGGAAGGGAGGCGAAGAGGATGCGGATGACTGGCGGGCAGTAAGGTCATCTTATGATATATAAGATGGTTGTGTATTGTTGTTGGAGTAATTTTAGATTTCAGTATTGGCTGGGGTGGAGTAATTCTTGGAATGATATTGTCTATTTCTGATAATTCTGGCCTCGTAGTACCGTTTTGTTTCTGCGGCTAGCTTTATGAGTCTCTATATGGCCTGAATAATAGTGTGATCTAGTTTATTTCCGATGAAATCCTAGTATTATACAGGACTGAGAAGTTTAATGCCCTGAAGTATTGTATACCTGGATAGCTATATATAAAGACTGGTAAAGTTACACTTAGAAGGCTTGCTATTGATAATATAATTCCCTTGTAGCTTGAGGAGGACTTCTGTGAATATCTTGCCCTGCGCCTTATAGTTAGTAAGTATAAAAGCGGGGACGATGGGTAAGCTGCAGCAGCTGCATTTTGTAGATAAGAACCTGAAGTTGCAGTTAGACAGATTAAGAGTTTGTAAGACTGAGCGGACAAGGATTGTTTCTGGTGGCAGAGTAGGGATAGATAAGCTCTTAGTATCTTTAAACTATAAGAGGATGCTAAGTAGTGGCCCGAAGTGGATAGTCACGTCGTCAGTAAGGTGGTATCCTGGGTACTTTGGGTTGGGTATGAAGTCGGCGGCGTTAAACTCGGCCCCGTTTATAACCTTTAGGCCGGTGTAGATATTCTGGTTTACAATTACAGGCATGCCTTGGGCATAGAAAAAGACACCAGGAACCTTACAGGTGGAGTTATCCCCTTGCTCGATAGTCCTGGCGATTTGATCTTGTGACAGCATGCCACTTCGCCACGTATGTGCGGAGATAAAGATAGAGATATATCTCTTGCGAGAGCGAGCCCAGTCGACGACGGCTTCTATGTTAAGTGACCAGCGGTTCCGGTTCAGCGGAGTTATAGCACGTAAGCCCGCACTAAAGGTGATTTGGGCGCAGTCGACGAGTTTTATATTGAGTATAAGTAGGTCCTGCTATATCTGGGCTCCAGCCCGTACTCTATCGAGAACAGCGCTCAGTTGAGGATCATCTCGCGTACGAACCTGCTCTTCGAGAAGTACTACCGTATTGAACATCTGCTACAAACTGAAGCCGCGATGGTGAGAAATAGTTCCCTGTCCCAGTGGGATGGAAGAAGGGTTCATCGTCTTGTTCACCAGGAGACTCGTCTCTCGAACTGGAGCGAACTGGTAGAAGTCCCCTATTAGGAGCACGACGGGAATCCCGCCGAACGGCTTATCGGCACAGTCTCGGAGTGACTGGAGGTTGCGGCTGACCTCATAAAGGGTGGCGCCTCCGAGCATGCTGACCTTATCTATCACGAGAACCAGTTTCTATTTCCACGTCCACTTTTTCGCCTCGGAGAAAACTGGGAGTTGTATTTGGGGGGAGCGGTGGGTGTCCAGTCTGCAGGCAGAATGTAAGGTTGTGCCGCCGATCTGGGCCGCCGCGCTCCCTGACGTCCCCGTGATCTGAAGAAGATGTGATTGGCCTCTTGTTAAAAATACCCATTTTAAGGCATCGATAACCCTGGATTTGCCCGTACCTCCAGGGCCTCCAGTATACTGGAGATGTTAATCCGCCGAATCGGGGTTAGCAGAGTACTTATCTAAGAACTTGTATACAAGCTGGAGGGCTATTGTCTGTAGGGAGTTGAGGGTAAAGCCTAATACAGTAAGGCGTCCCAGTTCCGCGAAGCCCGTTGTATGGTTGACGTCGACCAGTATTCGAGGGCCCCGTTCTACGGGCTCTAGACGCTGACGTGGCATGGTAATATCCGTATCACAGTGACAAATAAGGATATCGTCCAGGTTGTTGTTACTCGTGCCGGGAGCGGCGCCCTAAGAACCAGTCTCGATCTTATCTAATATGCGGAGGTGCAGCATACCCTGGGCCTTTGCCGCGGCTTGTATATCTTCATGAGAGAGAGTCGGGTATTGGGATAGCGCGTTATCCTGGGAACGGCGAATTTGCTGATAGAAGTCCTGATAACGCTGCACGAAAGGCCGCTGCTCTTCTGCAGGGTTTTCATGGCGTAGATCTCGGACCAGGTCCTGTAGTACTGGCGAGCCCCTCGTGGCTTCTGAGTTTCGCATAGCGTTGTGTATGGCCTGGAGGAGCGCTGCGTAGTTTTATTGATACTCGGCCGTTGTTGCAGGCTCTTCACGATAGTCGCCCTTATCAAGAGGGAACTCCACGTCGACCGTATCATCACCTTCCGACCTGCTGGCCCAGAGCTTTGCATCTTTCCGCGCATCCTCCGCCGATCTTCTCAGAAGGGAGATGTTGGAGGCGTGAGATCGTAAACGGGGTGGGAGTGCGGCGGCGTGGTTCGTCTATATGTCGGTGATGTCCCCGTGAGTCTTGGAGAGGAAGTCATCCCAGGGCACGAATAAGGCCAGGTGGAGGATGGAGTTTCTAGGCAGGTTAGTACTGGCTTGGAATTAGTATGGCGGGGTTTGGATGATACCGTCTAAAGTAGACCGGGTAGTCGTCCTTGTGATCGTTGCTGATGTATCCCTGGAAGATTGGCACTGCATATGCAAGGGGTTTTCGAAGCTTCTGGATCCAATTATTAGATTTCTGAGAGGGACTGTCAAGAGCAAAGTGTGTCTTATTCTCTTCTCGGTTGCGGCGACGCTCCAGGCTAATTATGGATATATAGTTATAGAGGCATAGACCTCTGAGAAGCGGACCTCGGTAGGCGTAGGCATCCAGAGACAACAGCGTCCGACCGCTCTCTCTAAGGCCTATTGTCTCAGGCGGCTTGTCTGTGTCGGTGTCGTCTCCAGACTGGCGACGAAGATGCAGCCACCGTCGGAAGATGGACTAATAGAGGGCGGTCAGGTTGATGAAAGACCACCGCGGTACGTTGGTAAAGTCCGTGTCGTAACCGAGCAGATAGTAGCAGACCTCCACGGCCGATAGCTGTCTATCCGAAAATATTCGATTTGCCGTTCTTATCAGAAACTAGCGGGTCTGGTTAAGAACGGCTGAGGGTTGGGTGTCACGCCCCGGAACCTGTGTCTGCTGCGGACTATCTGCTGACTGGTGTAGCTATCCCAGGACTTCGCCTGCGATGACGATGCGTTTCCACATCGGCGTATCCAACTTGGTGGTGTAGTTTGTGATGTAAAAGACCATGGCCAGTCCCTTGGTCCTCGTTAGGATCATCGAGATGTCGTGGTTGTGGCGGAGCCCGACCGCCATGGCCTTGTTGTGCCGGTTCACCAGCGGGTGGTTGCGGCGGGTCTTGAGCAGGCCGTCCTCCGAGAAGCCCGTCTCCTCGATAATCTTCTACGGCGCTCTGAAATAACAAGCCGTCCGTCGGTATTTATCCGCATACTCTCCAGCCAGTCTCTTCAGAGAGTACTTAATGCAGGTAAAGGTGTGAGAATGAACCTGGCTGCAGTACGCAATATAGTTAGACTCCGCTTTAAAGGCTATAGTAAGAGATTTGCTATTATTCATTATCTTCTCGACAGGCTGGATTGGCTTTCTTTTCTTCCGGATTGTCTGTCCAGCCTTCTTATCTAGGCATTTGTAAAAGACAGAGTTAATATAATAAATTACTTGGGCTCGGTACTCCTCTTCCTGGGGATTGGCTATATTGTTGCAAAGCGATAGTAACTGCAGATTCCCATGGAGCCAGAGCAGTCCATATAGGTATAGGCTGCCTCGGTTGTTTGTTTCTACTGTTGTATAATAGTAACTAATTTTCCCGAAAACTGATTCTTAGCCTATCTTGATATAGTTATTAAAGAATAGGGAAATCTTGCGGTGGAAGAAGATGACGGAGCTGACCGGGTCTAGGGTGCTGAGAGCGATCCTGTTGTACCGTCTCTGGAGATTGGCTAGCAGTTCCTTTGCTATGTCGTAATTATATAGCCTATAGATCGAGAGTCTTATCTTTACGGGATTGTTAATATCGTTGGGGTTGATGGTGAACCATATTACAGGCGTGCCCGCCTAAATGATAAGTGACTGTATCTTTCTCCGTATTAGAAGCCGAGTCTTATTTGAGAGCGGCTGGGCGTGGCTAAAGATGGATAGCTCTTGAAGCAAGAACGATATATTATTATCTATTGTCGTCTTGTTCTGGTGTATCTCCTCCTTGGCTCTCCTTAGTTGGTTTGCTGTTAGATTTTAATAGACTTGCTTAGCTCTGTTAAAAGAATTCTTTGTTATCCGGATTATGCTAATACGGCGGTTGGAGGATCGGAGGAGAATGTTAAAGACGAGGAAATAGAATACCGGGTGCGTGGCAAACCGACCCCTGTATCGCTGGAGTATATACTTGGCCCAGTAGGTGAGTGAGTGGTTTGAAGGAGGGTTGTGGACAGGCTCCGAGGCATATTATTGGCGGCTCTCTATATCGGTCGTTGCCTTCGGGCCCCCCTTTTCCCACGGGAAAAGCTTAGGGAATGTCCTTAAAAAGAAGTCCTTATGTAGATTGTTGGCGAAGTCGGAGCCCCGCTCTACGTGGATGAATGGCTGTTCTCCTGTAGTTTCTATATTTATACTATATAGCTGAGGGACCCTGTTACCTTGACTTCTATCTGTTTATATAGTATCTGCTAGGAAGGATAGCTTATCGGCCTCCGAGAATATAGCAGGCTCGTTAAGAGGAAACATACTAAAAGACAATATTTTATAGATAATATTGCTGTTAGAATCGAGTTAATCTTAGCTAAGAATAGAAGTGCCGAGCTCTCTATACAGGTAGTGCTTCTCGCCCGGGTTAACTCGTGCTAAGTTAAGGAGTTCTTTAATACTTGTTAACTGGTTTTCTGGCAGCCCTCTGTCTGTAGGCGGGACGATATAGTCTGTTTGTATCTTTTTAGCAATTAAGGGCTCTTCTTGTTATATTATCTCTAGGATGTTAGTAGGGATGTTAGAGCTATCTTTATACTGCTAACTGTCTATCTTATTATAGT